GAGTTTTTTTTATAAAAATAATGCTAATTAATCTATATTTTTTAAACTAGGAGGACTAATTTATAATTTACTCCCGAGGCTTATAATTAATATATTGTCTCCCCTGCCAAAGCCCATTGGCCATTACAGCATACCAAGGAAACGAAACATATGTTATATATTAAACGGCTTCGAGCTCACATTTTATGGACAGTAGGAAGCCCAGCAGAAGATAATCTCAGGTTTCCAAAAGACCTGGGCCGTAAATTACACGGCCCATATAATTACCAAATGAACTTTTACATTATATATATATATATATATATATATATATATATATATATATATATATATATATATATATATCTTAAATGTATTTTTTATAAGTTTCTATAATTTATCTGATTTTGATGTTGGGACATATATTTTATTTTTTTAATCAATAATATAAAAATAGATAAATTAATATTTAGCAAAACTTTCATATCAATAATTGATCACATATTAGTATTAGTTAAATATTAGTTTCTAACACAAATTTCTAAAATTTATTGGATCAAACAAAAATAAAAATTAGTAAAGTGCTATTCTATCATAAGTTTAATTTTTTAAAAGAAAGAGTCACACGCACACATATAGATATTATTCTTTTATCCATTCATATTCTCTTTACCGAATAATTTTATTATGAAAAGTTAAAAACCACGTTAACTCTCTTTATTATTTTTTTCCCCTCTACTTATATTTGTTAAATTCTAATTAAAACATAGATTGTCAATATTGTAATTCCTTGTTTTATTTTTCTCTTTTTGACTAATTTATTTTATTTTTCTATTATTTTGCTGGTGGTATACAAAATGTGGTAAGAATTTAGCTTTTTAAACAAAATAGAAGGCTTTTTATTCGTGTACTAAGTTAGAATTTTCCAAACGGAATATATAGAATGCAATAAATCAAAAAATTTGTAGTTAAGTGATAATAATTTCTTATAATAAAAGAATTTACGAGTTCAAATTTTAATAAATTAATTTTTTTAAAAAATCTTAGATGTTTGAATTAAAAAAATAAAATATTAGAAGGCAACAAGAATTAAATTGACAAGCATATAGTAACGTTTCTCCTACTCGAATTATTTCTTGGTTGGTGAACGAAGAAGACCATGAAAGTGCACCATCGCCATTCACAATAATAACATAAATTCTTGACAGCTCCTTCTTCTGGTCATGTAGTCATTAATGACGGTGAGTACAAAGGAAAAATTATAGACAAGCTAAGTATTGATTTAGACTTAAAAATTGATGGATTAATAGATGATTAGTCGAATTTGTTGGGTGTGACAAAGCATTATGTTGAGAATTTTTAAAATACTCTAAGAGTAGTTATTTTATACTCCATAGATTTATTTTTTGAATAGATAGACAGACATTAAAAAAAAAAAACAAACAAAATCATATCCGAACTTACAAAAAAAAATAAAAATTTCTTCATTGATTCAAATTTTATTTTTTAATTTTCTTTCTCATGTTTTTTTTTATGTCCGTTTATCTTTTTTATATAGTAAATATTGATAATTATTCTATGATTAATGTAAATTTTTTTGCATTATGATAATATTTTTATTTTGGTAAGTAAAATAAATCCTCATTCCAAGTGAATTTTTTTTCAAATAAAATTGTTCACAAGTTCCTTTCGAATAGTGCAACAGTAAACCTAGTAGAATTTTAAAAAGATTATTACGTTTGACTTTTCACGGATAATAAAAATGTCATTAATTGATATGTCATGACATCATTTTTTAACGTATCTCATTTTTAATTACAGATTCTTTACAAACGAGTTTTAATTAAAAATATTATAATAAAATATATGATTTAAATATTTTGATCAAACAATTAATTTGGAAATAAAAATAAAAAACAAAACAATCTATTTATACACGCGATCCTCCTCTCCCAATAAATTCATTTTATATGGTCAGAAATCTTTGCGATCAATGTTTTCTTTTTCCACTTTTTTTTTTTTTTCCATAATGTGAATTATGACAGGCATCATTAATATTGTTATATTTAGTTGTCATTAGTTTCATAATCTTAAAGATGGAGTGGTTAAGACACAAGACATCCACACAGATGAAGATGCTTCGACCTCAACCAAAGCAAGCAAGCAATCAGTGTCACTTTGCACCATAGACCTGATCTCCATTATTAACCAGATGATGCGGTTAATTTTTAACTATGGTTAAAAGATTTAGATTTGTTAACAAGGCAAGCCTTTAGTGTTTGATTGGTTCGCAGAATAGCAGTTTCACATGCTCTCGAGCCTTGCTTCATGTGACTTGCCGCCAATTCCAACAGCAGTTTTGTCTCTTTCAGTGCTCCAGGGAACAATAACCCCACGCGCCTTTTCGTAGAGTTAACGGTAGGAAAACGTCATTTTCTTTTTCTTCGTCAAAACTTTTTTTTTATATATATAAAAAAAAATTAAGAGAGCTTATATTTAAGAAAAATAGAAAATCCACCGATAGTTTACAAGATACGATAGCGTATTCTGATGTAAATTTTAATCTTTTACATATATCGATCAAATTAATATTAATCAATTTGTAATATTTTTCCTTAGAACCAATATATAAAGCAAATATTTCAAATTTTTTGTGCCTTAAATCATATATATATATATATATATATATATATTTCTGCTCAACGTACGAATTATTTGAATGCAATGGAGTTGATAAATCTTGCAACATGCCGACATTTTCCTACACGCGCTTCAGGTGCCGGCCTTTTTCGTAATTTTATTTATTATATCAGATACGAAAAAAGGGGAATTAGTTTGGTTGATAGCATTGATTGCAATAAAATATCTCAACTATTTTTTCTCCTGAATTACCAAAATGTCCTTTTTATGGATGGACGATGTTCCCATATTCTTGAGAGAGGCCTGGATCTAGTTACTCGCGGAATGACCAATGTGCCAGCTGCGAGAATGCCATTTATAAGTTTTCTTTTCGCTTTTTATTTACTTCCATTCTTGTTTTAAAATAATGATGGGCATGCATATAATTTCCACACACACACGATTTAAGAACGATGAATTTTTATTTAATATCCAAACATATATTTAATATCAAATAGTAATGTTTGATGATAGAATTCTAAGACAATATAAATGATATATTAATTTTAAATATCGATTAAATTTTGATTTATATGATAATATCAATTTTTTACATCCGACATATATATTATATTGGATACTTTAAATATAATATAGGTGTCTAATATTTAATATGACTTCGAATTATGTAAGAATTCTCAATTAAACACCAATTATTATTTTAAGATCTTGATTAGATTTTGAAATATTAAAAAACTTTCAATTGAGTGTTCTCACTTATATTTGTTGATGGGTTTATGTAAATTATATATTTATGTATAACAATATATAATTTTATAATATGATTGAAAAATAAGAATGGCGGGCATGATGTTACGAGAGGGAGTACTATGATCCTAGTGGTGGATTTAGAGATTGTGATAGAAAGTAAATGAGTTAGGTTTTAATTGATTTCGATTGAATTTGTTTTGTTAGAGATTTAATTGTTTTATGTTAGATTTAATTGTTTTATGTTGCATGTTTGTTGTATTTTGTTGAGAAATTTTGATAATTATCAAATGTTATTACTTATTTTTCAGTTTTTTTCTTATCGTAAGTATCATCTTAAATTTAATTTTTCTTATATCTTAAATTCTTCATTTACATAATAAAAAATAAAATAAATAATGAAGTCAGTACAGTTTGATGGGGGACATTATCGTAATACTATTAAAGCAAAGGACGTCGGTGCGAGATCTCTGAACATACGTCAAAACTTTTTCAAACTGAGCTGTCAAAGGCCATTCCCGTCATTTCGGTCGAGGACAAATGCGTCCAATAATTAAGGCCAAAATTTAAAAATACAAACCTAAATAATCACGCCCATAAAACCCAATCCCAACCGTCCATTTTCCCCATCCAACGGCACCAAACTCATCTTGAAAAAAACTGGAGGGAACAAATATATACCGTCGGATCTCACTCCCTATCCCTCACTCCCTTACTCTCTTCAAATAACCAGAAATCCTCTCTCTAGGGTTCTCATTTCTCCTCGCTCTCTCACATCCAAATTGTCTCTCTCTCTCTAAAAGTCTCCAGGTAACTCTCTCTCTCTCTAGATCTTAAGTTTTTTTGATTTACATTGTCGTTAATTCTCATTTATTAGATCTATTTTGTTATCATTTCTGCTTAGTTTATGCTATTTCAGTGCGATTTTTTTTGTAGTTGTTTTCGACTTTTCTGGTTTAACTTTTAGATCTTGCATGCTCTTAGTCGATTTGACCTATGGATCTTTTAAATTTTTTAAATGTTTTTTTTACTGCATTTACTACAACGTTCTCTTCCTCTCTCTGGATAGCAATTTTTCCGATTTGGTTATTTTTTTGTAGTTTATTATAGTTATCGAATTGAGCTTATAGTAACGATTTTATTTAATTTTTGAAATCAAATTATTTTTAGTAATTTTTTTTCAGATTTGACTAATTTTCGTACTAATTTTATTCTTAATTAGCAATTTTTCTTATATCTTAATTGTACTGCGTCACATTTCAGTTGAAATATGTGATTTCTCTATTTAATTGCTAATTTCACTTGTTTCTAATTCGCATATAGCGAATTCATGCTTTATTTTCTTAAATCAGAAATCATAGAGTGCTAGATCTGTTGGATATTTTTTCGGAATTAAATTTTACTTATTTTTTTTTTGTCATTAGGTTCAAGTAATATTATTGTTAGTTTCGTTTGTTTCTAAGTATTTGAGGATAATTTTTGTAGTTGTGATAGATTATTACTCAGTAATGTTTGTTGAAATTTTAATTTACTTTCTGTAGTTACTAATTGCAGAATATATGATTTGTTCCTTGAAATTTATGTAGTTTTGTTCGATTGTGGTCTTTTTTTTTTTTTTGGCAGAACAAGCAAAAATGAGAGAGATCCTTCACGTTCAAGGTGGTCAGTGTGGTAACCAGATTGGTTCCAAGTTCTGGGAAGTTGTTTGTGATGAGCATGGAATAGACCCAACTGGAAGGTATGTTGGTTCATCGGATCTGCAATTGGAGCGTGTGAATGTGTACTACAATGAGGCTTCCTGTGGGAGGTTTGTTCCTCGTGCAGTGCTCATGGACTTGGAGCCTGGTACTATGGACAGTGTTCGTACTGGTCCATATGGGCAGATTTTCAGGCCTGATAACTTTGTGTTTGGACAATCTGGTGCTGGAAACAACTGGGCTAAGGGGCATTACACTGAGGGTGCAGAGCTTATTGATTCTGTTCTTGATGTTGTAAGGAAGGAGGCAGAGAACTGTGATTGTCTTCAAGGTTTGGTGCAGATCCTCCTTTTAATTTTCACGTTTGTTTGCTTGATATTTTGTACCATGGATGTGCTGATCTGTTGTTAGTCATGCAGGTTTCCAAGTTTGCCACTCATTGGGTGGTGGAACTGGTTCGGGAATGGGAACCTTGCTCATTTCAAAAATCCGTGAGGAGTACCCTGACAGGATGATGTTGACATTCTCTGTATTTCCCTCCCCAAAGGTTTCGGATACAGTGGTTGAGCCATATAATGCCACACTTTCTGTACATCAGCTTGTTGAGAATGCTGATGAGTGCATGGTTCTGGATAACGAGGCTTTATATGATATTTGCTTCAGGACTCTTAAATTGACTACTCCAAGCTGTAAGTAAAAATGAAGTTTATGTCAGCAGTTCATATAGTTGGTTTGGTTTGCTTTGTTATTTTAGATTCCCATTTCATGTAGCTTAGATATGGTTAATGTAATTGCAAATTTGCTTGATTTGACATCTTCCATATCACTTCATTTTGTTCAACTGATTGCACTTTAGTTAATTTGGATACTGGTTTTTGTGCAATGTAAAATTGTTGCCCTTTTCATTTGTTATGGAGATAGCATAACGGCATGCCAATTGTAGAGTGTTTTGTGATTTAAGCTGGAACTGGAACCATAACTTTGAATAATTTGGTTGATGTGAGACCATGCATAAGGTACCCCTGAGTGTGGGGATCATGTAGTCTGCAATTAGAATCTGAATTTCTTACTTTGGGCTTCTGCTATTGCCTTTATTTGTTGTGACCATTGTGTACTGGTGCTGTTGTAATTGTTATTTTGCTGTTTGATGGTTGTGTTAAACGTTAACTCATTTGTCTCATTATTCTGTTACAGTTGGTGATCTTAACCACTTGATTTCTGCAACCATGAGTGGTGTAACATGTTGCCTGAGGTTCCCTGGACAGCTCAACTCTGACCTCCGAAAGCTTGCAGTGAATCTCATCCCCTTCCCTCGTCTCCACTTCTTCATGGTTGGTTTTGCTCCATTGACCTCCCGTGGATCCCAGCAATACCGTGCCCTTACTGTCCCAGAACTGACCCAGCAAATGTGGGATGCCAAGAACATGATGTGTGCTGCTGACCCAAGGCACGGTCGCTACCTCACTGCCTCTGCCATGTTCCGTGGCAAGATGAGCACCAAGGAAGTAGATGAGCAGATGATCAATGTCCAAAACAAGAACTCATCATACTTTGTTGAGTGGATTCCAAACAACGTTAAATCCAGTGTCTGTGACATCCCACCAAAGGGACTTGCCATGGCATCCACCTTCATTGGAAACTCCACCTCCATCCAGGAAATGTTCAGGAGAGTCAGCGAGCAATTCACCGCTATGTTCAGGAGAAAAGCTTTCTTGCATTGGTACACTGGTGAAGGAATGGACGAAATGGAGTTCACAGAAGCTGAGAGCAACATGAATGATCTTGTGTCTGAGTATCAGCAGTACCAGGATGCCACTGCTGATGAGGAGGGTGAGTACGAAGATGAGGACGACGTTCAGTATGAAGAGCAGTAAAGGAGTTATAACGGTGGTGTGTGCACAGTAATGTCTGACGAGTATGTTGCTGCTTCACTATGGTGGTATATGAAGTTTGCTCCATATATGCTATTAAGGAATATTAAATCTGCTATATTCTTGTTTGCATTTTAGGTTAAAGATGATGGAAGGGTAGATGAACTTCACTTAGGAGATTAAGAAAAGCACCTATTTTGTCTCTCCTAGTTAAAAAGTTCCAAAATGGTTGTTGATGAAGGGGGAAAGCTTGCATGTAGTTGTTATCTAGTTAAAATCTGTTCTGGATTTGTTTTCATTTTATTGTAATATACAGTTATCCTCGTTGCATGTTTCAGTTGATTTTATGATCATCTTCCTGTTGATTTTGAGTCTCTTTTCTCCGCTTGTCAATCGGTTCTCTTGTTTATTTTGCTTGGCAAATTTTTGGTGTCTGCTGGCCAGCAGTGATCATGTCATGCATGGGGATTGTTCTCCTCTGTCCTCTACTCGGCCCTTTGTTAATGAAATATGTCTTGGGCCGAAGCCCTTCTGTGGTTAGTGAAATAATGAAAAAGGTTCAATTAGTGGAGGGGCCGAATCCAGGTTGGGTTTTATCAAATTGGGCTTTTGGGTGAAATAGGACCACTATCTATTCGAGTTGAGCTAAATTGAGATCCCTGAACTCAAATGAGTTTGAGGCTGTTTCGTGCTTTTGGGTTGGTTCTCTGTTTCAATGTAGTCCATAAATGGAGTTGTTTTTATGCATCGGGCCAATTTTGTTTAATGTTTAAGCCTAATCTCCATGATAAAAGTGTCACCTGAGCAAGCGGCAATTGCGGGAAACTTCGGGTTATTATATTAGCAAACATGAAATCACAAGTAGGGTGTGCCGCATCAAATTTGTCCATTTTCCTATTGTTTTAAGAGTAAATTATGAATTAATTCTTTTAGTTTTTGAGAAATGAATCGATCAGGTTTTTGTTTTTCAAGACCTTATTATAGGTTTGTCTTTTTATTGTAATTTGACAATTTCAGATTTATAGTATTAAATCATGTAATTTGAATCCTAAAGCATTAGAGATTGGACAAATGTGATTTAAATTGTCTAATCTTTGTAATGTGTAATGATCAATTGGGTTGATTGTTACTTTGAATGTTAAAACGATATTGTTTTGGCATTTTGCCGTTAATTTTTTTAAATTAAAAAATAATTGTAACCCTCATATATTGATTTTTTTTTTAAAAAAAACTCCTTTTCCTATAAACATTTTATAAATTATATAATTGTTTTTATAAGTATTTTTAATCTCCTAATTTTGAACCTTTTTTTATAAAATATTATAAACATTTTATAAAAATTGTTTTTCTTATATTGTTTACAAAATTAGGAGGGTCAACCCTTAATTATGCTCATTTTAATTTATAATTTTTTTTTGAGGTATGAAATTGTGTATTGTTAATTATGTTTTTTTTTACAACATTTTATTAATTTTTTTTTAAAAGGTCAATATTAGGGGGATAAAAATATTTATAAAATGTTATATATATATATATATATATATATATCTCAAATATTTTTAAAAAAATTTCAAGATTAGGGGGTTAAAAATATTTTTCAAGTATTTTTTAAAAATTATAATTAATAGTAGAATGCCAAAACGATGTCGTTTTAGCATTTCAAATAACTATAAACCTAATTGATCATTACATACAATGGAAATTAAGCAATTTAAATCACATTTGTTTAATCTATCGCTCAATCTCCAATACTTTGAGTTTCAAATTACTCAATTTGTTACAATGAGTCTGAAATTGTCAAATCGTATTAGAATGGAGACAAAATTTACCATTAAACTCTTAAATATGTATAGTTTCTTCACTCTTGACTAGTATTGAGCATGTTTAATTCAATATTATTTATTTTAATATGTTATTTTTTCATCAATCATTTCATATTTGTTACTTATTTTTTTCTTCTATTTTTAAAGTAAAAAATAAAAAAGAAAGAGTAATTAAGTTACAAGAATATGTAAAATTACAATAGCTAAATAATTATTTTTTTAAAAAAAAAGACAAGAGGCACTTATTAATTAATTTCATGAAATAGAGAGACTAATGTATAATTTACTCTTTGTTTAATCATTAACGTAGTATTAGTGCTAATGTGTTAAAATTCTTGCAAGCAAGCCACCCTTCTTTTCAGCCCAAACCAGTTATTAACCCATATGCTATCAGAGTACATGATCTGTTCTTGCACTATAATAGTATATTCCACCTTCGTAGGTTAGGCTGGCTGAATTATCATCTCCGATTTAAATTCAAAAAAACTTCTATAAGAAATAAAATTTTCATAAATTTACTAATTCGGCTTGGGTAATTTATTTAAGATTAGACTCAAATAAAAATATTATTATTATTATGTGAAAATTTATCCAAAAATATTATTAAACCAAGAAAAAAGAAAAAAATATTATCTATTCCTGTTAGAGAATAGTATAAATTTAGGTAAGTTTAATTTTTTTTTTTTTTAATTGAAATGATCATTTGACATAGTATTAGAGTTTTGATGATTAAATGGTTACAAATTTAAATTTCACCAACCCATTTCTTTTCTAATTAATTAAGCATAATGTAATATGGCATATGCAAGTTTTAAGTTCAAAGAGTTTTTACTTAAGAATATGTGTTAGAAAATAATATAAATCTAAAACTTCACATATCAGCTTAAGTTTTTGATTGAGATAGTCATTAAACAATTCCAAACTCTGTAATATTTATATACATGTGAAAGAGTATTTTGTATTATAGAGAATTGACTACTTATTTTTTTTTTTTTATTGAACGATAAAGGTATTATAGAATAAGATTTTACATCAACCGATATTAATTCTCCCTTTAGACTATTTTAAAGACACTCTCCACATTAAATATTTCTGAATATTAATTCCAAGATTTAGATCCAGAAAATCATGAAGCAAAAAAACAAACTTCATTAATCACAGTAGGTTAAGGGCTACATGAGTCAAACACATCAATTAATTAGTATTAGATTTAAGCTGGGTATGTATTAATGTAGAGTTTGCTTTCAATTTAGTTAGTAGCAATGAGCTGGCGAATCATAAGAAAGAATAAACATTGGTTCTTACCAATGGAGTCTTAAGTTGATTTCACATCCAGCTTGCATGATAATGGAAAGCCTCAATAAAAAATGTTCATTCAACCGTAAAAAAGAGTTAGAAAGGGACCCCTTTTTCTCTTTCCGTTGATTAGATATACGTGACAGACCAACCCATTGAGTTCGACTGTCCCGACTCAGGAAACTTAAATACTGTTCTCTCTTGGTAAGCATTTATTAAAGAAAAATATTTTACGATATTATGGTTACAGACATCATTTTAAAAAATAAAAAAAATTTAAAAATAAATTTAAAAAATAAAAATATTAAATAATATAATATCAATTAAAATAAAATACAATTCATTATTTTTTTAAAAAAACATTACCTTTATAAAATTATAATAATTTTTTTTTCTAACATCACTGCTGTCATGTAACACTGCTATTTATTAAGAGTCCTTTATTCCACTAAGAAAAATGTACTATCTCAGTGCCTAGAGTTTTTCTTATTTGTAGCCATATCTAAGATAAATAGCACCACAATAAATTTCAACGATCTCAGTGCCTAGGGTTTCCTGATGTCATATCTAAGGTAAATAACACCGTAATAAATTTCAAGATAGGCCACAAAAATATTCATTCCTAAATATTCAAAATTCGTAAATTAATATATGTTGGGATGTATAATTAAATCGTCTCAAAATCTGCATAGCTAATTACATTTATGAGGTGAAAAATTAAACGTCAATGATTTCAAGATGAAATTTATATTTCTTTAAAAAATTTGTATTTTGGTAAGAAAAAAAAATTATAAGCAAAAATTTCATAGTTAAATTCGAAATTTTTTTTATAGGGTAATGTGATTTTTAATCTTAATAGCCCAGACGAGAGCCATGAAATGTAGTCCACGTGACCCACCTTGGGTTGCACATTGGAAAAGTTGGGAGTTTTCGTGCCTAGCTAGAAGTGGGGAAGTCGACTCTCACCTTTGTTTTTTTCAGATAATTCAACTGATCTATGAATTGTGGACTGTTTCAATGGATTTGAAACTTTGTAAAGTCTGGTTATAGAAGATTGATCAAACGGGTCTGTCCTAGCTAGGGTGTATCTTCCTTTCTTCGTCAAAATAATAATAATAATGGACTGAATATAATGTTGGACCCATTTTGATATCTTGTTTGGTTAAAAATCAACGCCACGTGAAATGGTCATGATTTGCTCGTATATTATCGATCATGTGTTTTTGGATAAGAAATCTATTTTTGACATAGATGATCTAATGTAAGAAATATGCGTCTTTGAAGGTTTATCTCCAAACACGAAACATGTGGAAATTTTCTTGTTTAATGATTAAACTCGTTATGAATGGACTTATGGAAGTGAATTCCATACTAGCAGGGAACAATGTTTAATTATGATGGAAAGTAAATTATTATTATTTTTTTTTTCTTGTTTTTCAACTCAGGAAATTTGAATGAAGTGGACAGTTTCGATGGTGAGTACGACCTAAATTTACAGTGAATCATCAAAACCTTTGACTATCTTTTAACTAAGCATCTACTTTCCTTTTGGTATCATTCTTGTAGGAGACATTACAGAGATATGTCTAACCATGAATGGTCCAAGAATTTTCTTGTCTTAATCCCTCCTCTTCTCCCTTGATTCTTCTGTTCACAAGTTCTTAAGACTTACCTGGACAAAAACAAGCACAATTCCTTGGTGTTTGGGCTTATTAACAATTTTGGGATTACATAATTAGTGGAAATAGTAATTTATGATGACAAGAAATTAAAAAACTTTGCCATTTCAATGATCTACCGTTCTTTGTCAAGAGAACATCAAATGCCTTATTAACTTGCAATCCAAGGTTACGGAGAAACGTGAGAAATGAACCTTATTATTGA